CATGAATGAACCTAGAGAACATTATGCTGAGAGAAATAAATCAGTCACAGAAGGACAAATATTGCATGATTCCACTTAATATGAGGCATGTAAAATAGTCAAATTCAGAGAAGCAGAGAATAGAACAGTGGTTGCCAGGGGCTGGGTGACAGGGAAAATTGGGAGTTATTATTCAATTGGTATAAAGTTTCAGTTATGCAAGATGAGTTAGTTCTAGAGATCTGTTGTACCACATAGTGCCTATAGTCAATAATAGCGTAATGTGCACTTAAAAACTTGTTAAGGGGGGTATATATGATGTTAAGTGTTATTAACACACACCCACAATGGGACACTAGGAAACTTTTAGAGTTGATGGATATGTCTGTTTCCTTGATCGTGGTGACAGTTTCACAAGTGTATGTCTATGTGCAAATTCATCAAATTGTATACATTAAATATGTGCAGGGTTTTGTCTATCAATTATGCCTCGATAAAGCTGTTAAAAAAGAGTTAATTAGATTCCACACAATTATTTCTGTCAATCCCTTAAGTTTTCTAGGAGGTCAGCCATCATAAACACTGAGGACAGGCCCTATGGCTCTATTTGCTCACTAGTGCAGCCCTGATACCTAGAACAGTGCCCACTGTATAGCGCCTTCAAGAAGATTTCCTGGATGAATGAACTTTGGATATATATGAATAAATACACAATGAATTTTCAAGATGTCTTCCTCAAATACCTCTTTCCCCATTGCTTTCTAATCTATATCCTGTTTATTTTCACCTTTTCAATTCTGCAGTTAGCCTGTTTACTGAGATATGTACTAATCTGAAGGAATGGCAACATTTTATTCTATCATTATCTAAAAATGTGAATTCATAGAAATCCTCTTCAATTATCTTTATTTCCCTTACCAGCTCTATTAACCCTGAAATTACCTTAACAGAGTAAGTCTCCTTTAGCGGTTGTATTTCCTCTTGGTTATCTGGCATCTTTAATATTTTAAGGAGTTTTCTATATGCATTTCCTCTTGTTGGATTCCTCAATAATATTATTTTCTTCTTAGCATTTACATCATTTTTAAGGTATTGATACAGTAAGTTATGCTGAGATACTAAAATTCTGTAACCACTCATGTTTTATCACTACGTCTTATATGACATTGAGGAAAAAGTCTACACTTATTACATCAAGATCCTCAACTATAAATACCTATCAGAGATTAATATTTGGGTTTGAAAGTCCTTGATTAAGCATGAGCACGAAAAGATATTAAATGACCTGATTCATTAATGTTGTTTAAAGTGTATGACTCTTTCTGCAGGAGCGTCAGTGAAATTAGAGCCCAGCTACCTGAAAAAACACAAACTTATTCCATACGGAGTGTGTAGGACTAGACAGAATCCCAAATTTTATATTATATTTAACTTTACGTAATGCCTCAAAGTTCAATGTAGAAACATATTTAAAACCCTGCCCTGATCTTTTTCAGTAAAAATGCATTTGTATGCAAATTATACTGTACAATGTACGCCTGAAAGTGTATTGCTCTGCATTTTTCCTAAGCCCCAGCAAAATAGTTAAAGGACGTCTGAAGGATGTTTGATTTGAAAATGCTTTTGAATAAGGATGCAAAATAAATTTTAAAACAATTTCTTCACGCCTGCCACAAGATTGGTATGTGGTATAAAATGGGCTCAATATTCCAAAGGCATTGTTTTCGCTGACCTTATTAGTGTACATGATGACTCATGGCATAATTTGTTCTACAGGCACAAGGCAATGTGGAATGTGTATGTTGTCACCAATATTTTGCATGAAATAGCGTTTTCTTAACCAGGTCAGTAATAGAAAGACCAGAGGTGAACGTGACTGTAGAAGACCAGAAAGATCACTCACCTTCAAAACTAGTACATGATTCAAATCTTTTCTCTGCTATCCACTAGGAGGAAAATTTGGATAAGCTTTAATTACTTCTAGAATTGGATTTCCTTACTCATAGATGTATAAAAAGAATTTAAAATTTATAAAAGTATGTTAAATAGTATGATCTAACCTTTTAAGGTGATCTTTCCAGTGAAATATTCATTTAAATTAAATTCAGAGGCAACTCCTCTGTCTCTAGACTAAATCTGATAAAGATGTGGCTAAATTTACTTGCATTATTCATTCTAATCTCTCGGGATTAGAGGAAGAGAGAAATGCTGAAATATTTCAAGTTCTTGTTTCCTTAAATAAAAACCTAGCACACCTGTAAAAATGTGAAGGCCAAATGACATGTGGAGCATCAACTATCTATATCTGGATTATATTAGCACTGATACTATGTTTAAAAAATCAATATTTAACATATATTCCAGTTAAATTTTCTTATGTGGATTTTAAATGACTTTACATAATTAAGCAAAGAAATTTGTAGTCATGGATATCACCATATTGGTTTTGATATCTACCATCTGTCAAAGTTTATTTGTGATAAAAATAAATAAATGAGTAAAAAAGAAAAATTTTAAGAGATTATTCTCTCAACTGTAAACTGGGGCAAATAGGCATTTTTTAATGACATTTTATTGGAGATACTCATTGAAAACATAAACAATCAACAAAAGAAGTAATGGCCACAATATACAATAGTTGGAGTTTTTTTAATGGAAAGTATATATTTAATCTCTAATTCATGCTTGTTCTTATTGAATGCTAAAGTTTCTTCCTCAGAAATTTGGTCTAACAGCTGTCAATAAAATAACTACTTGGAATTGTTACCTATCACACTTGATACAACAAGTAGCATCAATACAGTCAAGATGGAAATTGATTTGGGGTATTTCCTAGTAAATAATATAGTCTTTAATTCTTCACCGACTCAAAATTCTTAAAGTCAATATGAATCTGATTCCTGTAAGAATAGCTTTCTGATGTTGTACTAGTGACAAGAAAGAGGAAAAAAATCTATTTTCTTTTCAAGCTTAATTTAAATGGGAAAAAAAAGCTTGGGGTACAGAATTTTTTTAGTTAAAGAACGTAAATTTGATCTCCACCTAGGTATCTGCCATTACTGTGATTAAAATGTATGAAGTACAATGAGATAATATGCAGAAGTAAATAGATGTTATTCATTATAAGGGCACCCATCAAAGAAAGACATGAGATGTAAAACATTACCCCGACACTCACACACACCACATTTGATGTCAGTACACACTCACCCTTCCACCTGTTGTTCCTTTGCACACTGTATGTAATAGTTAATTTAATTTATTTGCCTTTCCAATTATAATGTATGTTTCTTGAGATCAAGGATCTTTTTTGTGTGTGAGGAAGATTGGCCCTGAGCTAAGATCTGTGCCAATCTTCCTCTATTTTTTGTGGGATGCCACCACAGAATGGCTTGATGAGCAGTGCTAGGTCCAGACCTGGGATCTGAACCTGTGAACCAGGGCTACCAAAGTGAAGCAAGTGAACTTAACCACTATGCCACCAGGCTGGCCCCAAGATTAAGGATCTTTTTCCATTCAACTCGTTATTCCCAGCTCCTAAATCCATACTTCAGATAAATTGGGTGTCTAATAAGATTTTTAAATAATGCATAAGTAAGGGAGAGAGAAGGGGGAAAAGGAAGATAGAGAAGAAAATATAAACTACACAAACCACAGTAGAAGTGTCTCCCCAGAGAGATATACATGAGTCTAATGTTCTTTGTAAATTAACATTTCCACATCTGTCAAATAATGCAAAAAAACAGGCTGCAATGACTAGAAAAGTTTAAATCTATCTAGTAAACCTGAAAAAAATGAACACATAATTTATTCAGAACAAAGCTTTGTTATTGGGTTTTAAAAAAATAGGTGCTTAATTGTTATTGAATATCTTCTTTTCTGGGTTATTCTACTTTTTCAATGCAGAAACCTCAGGCAAATGACATCGTCTCTGTGACTCAGAGTGCCTACGGGCAAAATGAAGGTAAAAATATCAGTCTTCCCTATTTTAAAAAATCACGAAAACCAAATGAGCTAATGTGAAATAAGGTGATGATCATGTTCTATTAAAAATATTTGACATGTTACTACCCTTCCGTCTGGCTATTTATATTCTTAAGATTACATTTGTATATCTAAACTCAGATAATATACTTTTGATTATGAGATAATATTTGACCAGGCTTATTAACCCATTTCTTTTTCACTAAATTATTTCATTTTAAATTCATAAAATAAGTTAATTTAGTGATTTATTATGGTGCTAAATCCATTACAAGTGTTTCGGAGGATGTAGTTACAGAACAGAGCAGACATTTGGTTTGCTCATAAAACCACACCTGAGAGCGGTTGAAAAATTCCTTTGACATCAGATGAAATCATTTCAAATCACAGAAGATTTGATATAATTCAACAAAGAAATCAAAGACTCAAAGAGAGGCGGCAGAAGACAAAATGAGGTGGAAATGTAATTATGAAAGGCAAGCTAGCAGATAGTTCATTTATCAGAGAGCACACCTGTGCAATTGCTGTGGTTTACATATGCATAATTGTAATACGATGTTCAAGAAGTAGAAGGATTTGTGCTGAGGAATTTTAAAGATAAATATATCTAGACCTTCAAGAATTTATAGACATTGGCAGAGGTTTTAATAAGCAGTGAGCTATATAGAAATATATACTAAACAAACTAAAGCGAGTTTTCCAAAACAATGATATAAATATATATACACACACGTATATATATACCTATATATACATATATATATTAGCCTTAGTAGCAAACGGTCTTGTCAAAAATTCTATTTGTATTTTAAATTTCTCATTGCACATATAAATATCCGTATAGAGAGAGTAAAGAAAGTACGTGTTTGATATACTGTCAACATCAGGCTGCATTTGCTTAATAATTTACTTACTAATATGCAAAAACACAATAAAAGGTTGCAAAGTCATACTCTATAAACCATCTGCAAAGAGTAAAGGAGAAACTTGGTCCAGCATGCAGAGTCTGAGACCTCTTAAAATAAGCTATGAATTACCTTTTTCAATCAGGACACCGGGGAAGAGAATGACTTCTTTTGAGTGTGGGCACTTTAGAATTCCTGGTGTCAAGTGGAAGCCCACAGGCCTCAGGAGCCAGGTTCTTGTCCCTTGAAGAAGTTCAGTGCATGCACATTAGATGCTTACATGCTCTTGAATGCAGCCTATTATAAGGACCACAAAGAAGAGATCAGTGGAAAAAATTTCTTACAGAAATAGGCATTACCCCAGGAGCCAGTTTTAGGCTGGGAGTAATAGAAAGATAAAATAGAAAGGTTGTGACCTTCATTCTTCATCTCCCTACAACTTGATGGCTTATTCTTGATATAAATCCTTCTGGCTAAAATATCGCCTTAAAAAAACATTAAAAACACCAGACTTTGGTAGGTGTGGGGAGGTGGAGGAGGGTTCCTGTGGAGCAGAACTCTGATTACACAGAGGGTGTCAGCTCTTCCTTCAGAACAAAATTTATTTTGTATGATTTACTCTTAGAGCCTTCTCTCTGTATCAATTCACCCTGTGAGCTCATCAATTAATTCAAGACATTTTGGAATCGGAAAGGAAAGTACTATTTAAATTGGATCCCAAAAGTTTGCTAATTATTTCTGTCTGTATGTTGATAGATTCATGCATTTTCATCTTGCTCGCATATGAAAATTCTGAAGCCACTTACTAAATGCTCCTAACAAAACCAACATTCTCATCTCAGGAGCATCCCAGTTATTACACAAAAAATAACTTATGTAATTCCTACTTTGCTCATTATCTTACTTTACTTTGCATTTAAGTATTTCTTTAGCTATTAATTACCCTGCTGTGTTCATGCTACTTAACTCGTTTTCATACCCACCTGCCCCTAACTCAATTCTCAGTGACTTCATCTCAGTCAACTGGTGGCAGTTCACACACACACACACACACAATGAGAATCATGACCCGCCCAATTTTAGCCCAGTTCATGGAATGGCTGAATTTATTTCACAATAGACCATATACATAAGAGATTAAACCATAACAGACCTTCGCAAGGCTGGAATCCACAGGACTCCCATGAATACACAAAAGATAAGTTTTCCCTTAATGGAATGAGCAATCTTCCAGCCATGGGAAGATTCTGAATCATTTTAACTAGCATATATATAGTGGGTATTTTTAAAGAGCTAACAATAATCTGTACATACTTCACAATTTTCTTTATCTTTAACCTGTTTTCTAAACCTATATCATTTTGGGTTTTCTCCAGGTAACGAAAATATTTACTCACCTGATGTCTTACTATGTTCCAGACATTGCTCCATGTGCTTTTAAAAAATAATAATCTAGTAACCATGTTGCTAATTTTCACATGCTCCTTGTATCAGAAGGGGCAATCCTAGGACATTATGAGATGATCTTGTCCCAATACCCGTCTAACCGCTGAGGAAATTAAAGACCCTGGACACAAGAAACCTGATGGATGCAGCTACACAGCCAGCAAATGGCAGAGCCAGATGGCTCAGACATCCCAACTTCTTTCCTGTTAGGGTAGGTAACTGGCTGCTTGGAGAGAAAGTCCTCTGTCAAGGCCACCATGGAGATTATGGATGCTGATGCTTAAGGGACCAGCAGGGGAGAATTAATGGAGTTTGGAGAGAATGTATTAGATGGGGAACCTAAGAAAACCATGAAAGCTAGAAGAAGAGAAACAGCTGAATATAACAGCAAGGGCAACAGATATTAGAATGATTAGCTTGAGCAACTCATTAATATCTTTGAGTGCTAAGCATTTGCTAGAGTTTGAATAGGCGAGTAAACAGATGACACGTATGGGCCACTTATTTTGTCAAGTGGCTTTTTATTTTCTTCACAGATGAATAAATTTAAACGAACTGGTCCCTAAGGTTATAGAGTCAATTGTGGAACCGGGATGCAAACAACTTTGCAAAATTTTGATGATAATTTCTACTCTGTCTAAGCCTTAGGGTTGTTTGAAAAACCAAATAAAGTAACTATATGGAAAATATCATTGAAAACTAGTTCTGATCTCCTTTTGTCTGAGACACAGGGATTTTCCTGGGCAGAGTGCTAAAAGCAGGAGGTCCCTGGCAAAGGGGGATGAGATGTCAGTAACCCTAGGTACTATGTAAATTTAATATATTATGTTAGTTGATAGAAATTCTGTTGACAGGGTCAAAGATATTTTGAGTTGAAAAAATGCAGTTTCTACCTCAAACTGAAGAGTATCTGGGATTCAAACCAAACAGCTTTGTGTCCTCAGGGCTAAAATCTAAGAATAATAGTTCTAGCATGACTGAGAGAATACCAACAGACAAGAAAGAGTGATGGATCCAAGACTATGCAGAGAAAAAGAATCTAGTTGATCTAGGAGAGAAAAAGGGGAGTCTCAGGAAAAACTGCATTAAGCCAAGCCAGGATGAATTTTTCTTAAACTGGGCATATATAATTTAACTTTATTTTTTTGCATTTTAATTTAATTCTGTTATTGTTTTCATTTGTTTTCAGACACTTCAACTACAGTAAAAAGAATGAAGAGAAGACACAGCAAAAGAAGCTCAAAAGTGAAATCTTCAAATCTTTATAAACCATAATTTCTGAGAAGTGAAACTAAAAATTCAAGAGTGGCGAAAGAGGACATGTTTGGTTTGGATAAGCGTTTAATCTCATGACCACTAGGTATTCGTTTATTATGATTTATATCAGAGTAAACGGATTTTCATCATGGCTCAAGAGATGTGAATTCTAGTCCCGAGTCCACTACTAACAATGGGAATGACACTGAGTCAATCAGTTTTCCTCTGTGACTTTCATTTGCTTCCTCTGTAGAGGAGGGTTTGGACTAGAAGATCTCAAAATTCTTTTCCAGCTCAAAAACTGTAACTGTAGAATGACAGAATTCAGATTCTGGTTATTTGGCTCTTGCTTTCCCTTTGTACTTCCCACCAGAAACATGACATCCTTGGCGTCTCAGTGAGATTGGGGAGGTGAGCTGCAAAGACTGGGCTGATATTTCTACAGAACTGTGAGATCTAATGCTGGACAGATCTTGCTTTGAATCCCGTCTCCAGGACTTACTGGCCAGAGGACGTTGGGTGGTGTAAACTTTTAAAGTCTAAGATTGCTTTTGAAAATGATGATAATTGTAACCAACTCACAGTGTAATTATAATGATTGAATGAGACAGTCTGATAGAGTGTGGCACATGTTAAGTGGTCCATAATTTTTTTCTTGCTTGTTTTCCTTTCCAGTTGGACTGACATAATAAGTAGCTTGTAGCTAAAAGACTAAACAATAATAAATGACTTGCAAAATAGTAAATTTCTGCTCTGCAGTCATAATGCATATTTATCCCCAGCCCCAACACACACATCACCTGTTTGTGTTCATCCTCACCCGTCTTTCTAAACCCCAGACTAATCTCTCCTCATAACAAATTTTAAAAATAAAGTGAAATAAAGAATACAAATAAGGAAACTATAGTACCACTAAATTTCCCTTTTGAATTTCTATAAATACTTGCTCCTAATGATTCCCTTGCAATTTCAGTAATTACTATAAATGATTTAAGTTAAAGCTTTTTTGGCTCAATGACAAGAGCTACAGCTACTATGGCTATTTATTGTATGAACTGCTGCGAGCCGCTTCTCTTTTTTCCTCCCCACAGTAATGTTAATTTGTTCTGGTAGCAGCAGAAGAAAGCGATTGTCCTACCGTATCAGCCACTCTCTTGGCAAAGAACCACTTTAATTCCTCGTTGAATTTATACGGAATGCATTAGAAGAAGGTTCTGTTCTTGAGTGGCCCAGTTTACTCATTCTCTGTATTTACGCATCTAGTAATATACACATACATCTTCAGTATAACTATATAATTCATGTATATCACATACACATGCATATATGTACACATAAATAATGCTTAAAGAATAAATTACTATGTCTATAGGTGCTAATTTCATTTAAAGCACATTAGCACTGTTAACACCTAGTACACTGTCCTAAGTTGAGGAATCATTCTCCAAAGGGGCTGAACAAATTCCAATTTGCAGTACCAAGTAGGGTCATAGGGAAAGGGTTATCATCTTTTTAATGAGTGGTGCTCTGACCCCTTCATTCAAGGTCAGACTGTGAAAATGTTAAAAGTGACCCATGAGGTATGAATATTCATTTGACACATAGATATACACACACCAATCTTTGTTTTCATATAAGTTACTGGTGTGGCAGAGATTTCTCATTAAAAGAGAATTTTTGTGTTTGAAATCTGTTGCTAGCTTATCAAAGCACCTGTCTGCTTTGACAATACATATGGCATTCGATCCAGAATGCCACATGGGTATCACTTTCTGGATAGGCTTTGGCACTGTGAAATACACACCCAGGATCTGTCCCTCCTGAAATTTCATTACAGCTTGCAATCTGTTTTATCCGTGTCCAAAAGGCCTTCAAGCCGAGTTGAGGATCCATGGGCTGGGCATGAGCAATAGCTCTGTCCCCTCCCTACAGGGTGATCTTCCTACACCGCTACCTGGCTCCAGCCTCTGTCTTCTCTCGCCTGAATTGCTGCAAGAGCATTCTGACTGGTCTGCCAGATTCCAGTCTTGCCTCCTCAGATACGTTTTCCACATGATGGTCAGATCTGATCGTGTCTCTCTCTTGCCTGAAAGCATTCAAAACGCTCAGGATAAAGTTCAAAATTATTACCACGGCTGAGTCATCCCCTGGTGGTTCTGTCTTGTTGCCTCTCTGCCTATGATCTCTGCTCCAGCCGTACTGAGACCTGTGCAGTGCCCAGAATTAGATACGAGTGTTCTCGCCTGCAGGTCTCTGCACCTTCTACGCCCTCTGCACAAACTGCTAGCTCTCCTCCCTCAACCTGTCCGTCTAACTCTAGAGCTTCAATGGGTGAACTCTTAGCTTCTCTCCTTTAGGACGAAGGAAGTCCTGTAGCCAGGACTCCCTCTAAGAATCCTTTCTTGACACGTCCCCAATCTATTCTCAAGAACTCATGATTCGTCCCTAGATGATATCATAGATCACTTCCTCATATGTGCTTTATCATTAAAATTCTTGGCTCCTGAGTGAAAATGTGGGAGTGGAATCAGCATATGGGAAAGTATATGTGGAACAAAAAGTGAAAATATAAGAACATGTGGGAGTGGAATTTT